TCCTTGGGGGCACCCTCCAGCCTTGGGGGCTGTCGCTCTCATGGGCAGCTGTTGCCCTGGTCGTTGCAGAAGTCCTGTGCAGAGGAGAGCCGAGGCCGGCCGGGGTCCGATAGGAAAAGGAAATTTTTGGAGACCGACTTGGCCCACGACTCGGAAGGTAGGCAGGGCTGGCCCGGGCGGCCATGGCCTCTCTTGTGCCCCACAAGACCATCTGCCTCACGTTCGTTGGTTTAGAAATAATCCTGCAAATAATGGCAGTTTTATTTATTCTTCTGTGGAGCACATAAGTCTTTCACTCTGTTCCAGAGCTCTTCCAGGATCTCAGCCAGCTCCAAGAGGCCTGGCTAGCTGAAGGCAAGTGTTCACCTCCACCTTTTGCCATGTAAAATCTCTCTGCGAGCATTTTTTTTGAGAACTGAAAAAGCCATAAACCCACTTTTTTGTTTGTTTTTTTTAGCTCAGGTCCCCGATGATGAACAATTTGTCCCAGATTTCCAGTCTGACAACTGTAAGTGATTGTTTTGGGTTTTTGTTCTTCAGGGGGGAGGTGGTTTGGGTGCCTGTGCAAAACTTTGCGCTGGGCTTGGAGTTGCTGCCTTAGGAAAGCAGTTGTTGCTGGGGCTAAAACGTGGAATTGTGGGCTTCTGGGAGAAAACGTGCAATTTAGGTTCATCGAGATGAAACTTGCAATGTCCTGTCTTTTGTAAATGGGGAAAATCATGGCCCAACACGTGGTAATCTCTCTGACTGATCTCTGGGCTCCTCTGAGACAAGCTGCTTGTTCGTAGTAAGGTGGATTTGCTTCTGAACGCTCCTTTTCCATTTCAAGTGGAAGCGAGAGCCCGTGCTGGGCTCCTTGGTTAGCCACAATCTCTGCAGTTTCTGGAGCTTTTTACAGTCCTGGCCCAGCGCTGCTGGCAAGAGTGGGCCTGAGTGGTGAAACTTGAGCCGCTTTAAGCAGCATTAATCACTGGCAAGCGAGCGTGTTTAAAAGGAGGCCAGTGAAAATGCAGTCCCTCGTGAATTGCATAAGAGCGAGTGTTGGTTCTGAGCCGCGGCGCGTTGCTGGGGCGGGTTAGCGGCGAGGGCAGGGGCCGGGTAATGGCGTGTGGGGCTTGCGCAGCTCCGGGCGCTGCTCTCCGGACGTCTGAGGGTCGCTTGGAGGGGAAGGGGGGGGGGAATCAGGATGTTTTGATTCGTTACCTGGCAAACACAAGTAGTAGCTTGGTGTCGGTGGCTGGGTTTTGCTGCTGAGCCAGACAGCTACGGAACTTAAAGGAAATCAAATTTAGCCTGCAGTCGAACAGATTTTTCATTCCGGCTTTGTCACAGCATGCAGCGGGGTATCTCCTCCGACAGCAAATGCATGTTAATTATTGCTCTTTGATTACTTCGGAGCGGGAAGCTTGCCATTAAGCTGTTCCAGACAGCCCAAGTTTCAGATGTGCTTTTCTCCCTGTCTCCCCTGAGATAAAAGGCGAGCCTGGAGTCAGAAACACAACGGGCTGTTGACATCCCGAGCACAGCCCGGCAGCTCTCGCTCCGAGCGGTAGAAACTGCAGTGTGCGTGGGAGGGTGGCTCTTGGAGCTGAAGCTCTTTCCAGTGCCTTTTGGCAGTCTCTTGTTTCCTTGTAACCTGAAGAGCTTAGGGAGGAGAGACAAACTTTTCTGGGTGATGCAGGGAAAAGAGGGGAAAAATAAAAAGGCATTTGGTCGGGGCTCTTAAAATGTTTTGACCTGCACAGCCCGCAGACCTGGTGTTGAAATGACTTTGTCACTCGAAAAGAGATCTGCATGCATGACTCCCTACTGCAATAACCTTCCTTAACTTTCCTGAGGAAAGAAAGCAAAGGTTTCCTTCGCTGCTCCTGTGTTGGCTTTGAGGGGGCTCAGACTCAGGTGGAGGGGAATGGGGAGCCTGGCTCTTCCATCCCTGCACTGGAGAGATTTTAAAGAGGAGAGAAACTCCAGTTTACAGCTCTCTGACCCTATTTTCTCATTTCACTCCGGTTTTGAACCCTGTGCCATGTAGAAAGGAAGAGAGGGATGGCTCTGGTGCAGCTCCTTCCTGCACCTGGCTTTCACTAATGGAGATGGGCTGCTTTCCTGCTCACAGTGGGGTTCAGTGTCCTTTAGCTGGCCCAGGGGAAGGTAAATCCCTCCTTAGTCCCTACAGATGTTTGTGGGCATGCGTTGGACTCTGTTACTGCAGTTGTGTGTGCCTTTTCACTGGGGAAGCTACTGCTCTCTTGTTCTGAGCAAACTTCCATCTCCTGCCCCATCATGCATTCCCAGGGCCAAGCTTTCTTGGCACAGCAGCAAAAAGGGACAAATGAGGCTCAGTTTGCACCCCACTGCAATGGGGGGATCATGCACTGCCACATGTGCTGTGTGGAGTCTTGGAGATGCTCAGAACTGCAACATCCTTCTTGACTTGCTAAAACCCTCTCACAGCTGCCTGCAGCTCCACTGCTTCCTACTTGCTGTTCCCAATTCCATAGCCAAGATCCTCTGCAGAGAGGGGCTTAAAGTTGGGACTTGGGAGCAAAATAACATACTGGAGGGCAGTGGATTGCTGTGCTGGGGAGGAAATCCCACTGTAGAGAAAGCAGGGCTGCTCTGAATGAGGGATGTTTTGTTCTTAGCGCCCTGGACTGAGCGGCAAGAGGCCTGATTCAGTGCTTATAAGTTGAACAGGGAAGTGGTGGATCCTCCTGGGAAGGCAAGGAGGCCACGGGTAACTCCACAGAGCTCACCACGCTGGCCATCGTGCTGCATCCCTGGCCAGGCATAGGTGTGGGTTCACCAGCAGTGTGGTCCTGGGGAGAAGGGTGTATGTACAGTGTTATGCCTCCATCGGTTGTTTATATACCTGAGAAGCGATGGAATCACTCTGAGGAGGTCAAGCATCACAGCAGATGGTTTGTTCCCCGGGTACTTGTGGCCTCCCTGCATGGGAGGCACGTGGCAAAAGCCACGGGCGGGACACGGAGTGGGTTTTCTTACACACCAAAATGAAAGCAGGAGGTTTGTTTGTGAGGAAGAGTCGTTTAAACAAAGGAAAACAGGAGCCCGGCTTCTATTTCTGGCTCCTCTCCTGGTGTGACCTTGGGTGCGTCCTGTGGTGTCGGGAGATGGAGGGGCAGGCACAGAGCTCAGCTCCCAGGTGACGGCTTGAGCGGGTGCCAAGGTCCCTGGGAGTGCTGGTTTAGTTCCCTTCCCCTGGGTTTGGACAGTGGGTGCCACTGGCAAAGCCAGTGTCCTCCAGGCTCGGCATTTTGGAGGTCCATTTATGCTGGTGGGCAGGAACAACCTGCCTGCTCTCTCACCAAGGGATTCACTGGGAATTCAAGGCCTCGAGTGGCTTTGGGGTGTCACCCTTTTCCGTGGGAGACCTCTTTGCTGATGGTTGGCATGGTTGGCATTTGGGGCATCTACAGTTTGACTGGTTATAAGGCACTGTGATGGTTTGCCTGAGCTCCCCCACTTTCCCTTCCTACCTGGGCACAGCAGTGGCACATGCAGCTGGTCCCTTGCCCAGCCTCCCTGGGATCCTTTCATCCCTAGGGGCTAAAGCAGACCAGAGAGGGGCTGTCAGGCACCCACGGGCACTCTCACTGCTCCCATGGCTTAGCCCTGGCATGGATCTGCCCAGGCATGTTCTCCAGCCCCATCTGTAGTTGAGCTGCTCCCTCTGCCTATTTTTATGTATTTTTTTAGCTTTAAATTATAGTGCCGAGGGCAGGACCGGAAAGGGTAAAAGTGCTCATGCATCCTTTGAGGCACTGGGTGCTGGGGCAGGGCTCTCCTTCCCAGGGAACCCTCCAGCCTGGCTGCTCACTGCTGGGACCCAAACCCAGCACCTTCCCTGCAAAAGCTGCTCCACCAGCCTTGGTGCCCCCTCGGCTCCTGCAGCCTCGTCAGCCATGAGCTGGGCATCAGGAGTGCCTCGCAGGAGCAGCACCATGAGCTGGGCATGAGGAGTGGTCAGCCATGAGCTGGGCATCAGGAGTGCCTCGCAGGAGCAGCACCATGAGCTGGGCATGAGGAGTGGTCAGCCATGAGCTGGGCATCAGGAGTGCCTCGCAGGAGCAGCGCCGGCCGGCCCCGCAGTGTTTGTGTAAGGAATCCAAACGTTGCACGGAGTCCGGGCTTGGACAGCTGGTCTCTGTTAGGATCTTAAGGCTCATTTCCCTTTTTTTTTGAATGGCAGAGCTAAGCTCTGGGGAAATTTTTCCTTTCTTTTTTTTTTTTTTTTTTTTTTTTCTCTTCCCTCAGCCACATGAATGGAGCGCTCCGAAGTGTTTGTGAATGGAGGGTGGTGCCTGCTCAGGGACTGGAGGGTTTTTTTTTCAATGAATAACCAGACCCCATTGTACGACTGGCGGAAAAACAACCCGCTCCAACAACACGGAGCCTGTTTGGGAGAACCATGCCCGCAATAGGCAGCTGGAGCCCTTCCAAAGCCAGTTCCCCTTTGCTTTCCCGTGGCTCGTGGGGCGCCTGGACTTTGCTGCCGCCGTGCCGGCCCCCTGTTAAGGCTGGAAATGCTGAGAGCGGCAAAACCTCGCTGGGGAGGGGGGAAGGAGGAGGAGTGGGATAAATCCGGCTTGGGAGCCAGTGGAAGGCGTGTGGGGGGCTGTGCTGGCTCGGCGCTGGGCTTTGTGTTTCAAATCCTTCTCGGGGGGTTTTATGCCCTCGGTACCAGCTGTGCTGGGCCCTTGCGAGGAAGGGGGACGGGTAGAGAGGGAAGTCAGCAGCTCTTTAAAGGTTTTGACAAATTAGGGGAGCAGCTAATTACCTGGCAAGCTGTGAACAGTTGTCCTGGAGCTACTCCTCTCCGCTGTAGCTGGGCTGTGTTTAGGCTTTGCATGAAGCTAATACTCCACTTCCGATTAGTCTTGGCTCTCCTCTGAGGCACTATTTAGGTGCAGATCTCTGAGGCGCTTTCCCTTTCCTAGAGCGCCTGCTTTTAGAAATTAATTAGCTTAAGCATATATTATTCAGTTTATAATTATATATAGCAAGTGGGCTTGGGAGTGGGTAGTGAGGATTTGGGTTTAGTGGGATGTTTGTCACTGGAGCTCATACAATTGTGGGACCCTGGGAGAGGGTCCGCTTGGAGCACTTTGGCTGGGGGAAGGTGGATCCTGTTTACTGACTCTCTGGAAGATGGGTATGCCCCTGTGAGGACAAGTGGGTTGCTGTGTTCTGTTTATGTGCTCTCGGAGCTCCAATCTGTCAAACCCCTGCATTCCTTGCTCCATGGCTTGGGGGAGCAGCCGCTGCCTGTGATGCCTGGGCTCGGCTCCACTTGCTGAGGGGCTCTGGCCATGGCACATGTCTCGTCCATGGCTGTTGTCAAGCTGCCTGTTCCCCTTTCACAGCCCTTGCTCTGCCCCTCTTGGATCCCAATGGGGAAGGACTCCCCTTCTGTGAGCAATGTCCTGGGCTGCTGTGACTGTCCCAGTTCTGCCCTCCCCTGCCACCCCAGCTCGCTCCACTGCCAATGCTGAGGTCTGCTGGGGCACCTTCCTGCCCTGGTTCAGTTGTCTGATGCTCCTGGGGCATAATTCAGCGCCTGATTCCCAAGCAAAGAGCACCGAAGCAGATGCTCGCAGGGGTGATGTCCCCATTGCTCTCTCCGATGTGTATCTTCCTTGTTCTCCTTGCAGTGGTCCTGCACGCCCCACCTCCGGCAAAGATCAAGCGGGAGCTGCCCAGCCCGTCCTCGGAGCTGTCATCCTGCAGCCACGAGCAGGCTCTCTGTGCTGGCTATGGGGACAAGTGCCTCTACAACTGTTGGTAGGTAGCACAGGGAC